AAATCTTCCAGAGAAAAACAATACCACAAATTACGAACATGGGCACATGTAGAGGTGTGGACCCATAGCTAGTAAAAGTACACTCCCCGGACGAAAAAGATTGTCAGTACATATTGAAAAAGTTTACCAAACTGATTTGCCGAGGTGTCTTACAGTTCCTGGGTGACTATGAATTCCTTTTTATATTTTGCAGGTGATCGAATATGGCGCTTTGAAGGACATGGACTGGAAACCGGTTACCCAATGAGTATTAGAGGCAGCGGCCTTCCACGCAATCCGGACGCTGCGCTCGTCTGGGATGGAGATGGGAAGATTTACGTGTTCAAAGGGTCTCACTACTACGTGTGGAGTGAATATTCTGAACGTGTTATTCGAGGGGGTGTCCGCCCAATTCGTAAACACTGGGCAGGCATTCCCAACAAAATCGACGCTGCTTTCACGTGGACTGATGGTAGTACGTATTTCTTCAAAGGCGATAAGTACTGGCGTTTTAATAACACACAAATGAGAGTAGATCAGGGTTATCCTAAATCTAAATCTGAATACTGGTTAAATTGCATGTAATTGCTATCACGTGCTTAGAGCGTGTCAAATAACTGCCAGCATAATTGTGTCGGTGTTACGATGTCACAGTCGTCGCGTCGCGTCGCTTTTGACATGGATCCAATTCGACGTAAACAGTGTTTGTTTACACGAACATCGCGCTGATGACGATGGTGGCGCTGTCGTAATACTCACCATGATACAAGAAATAAATATCATATGCACATAAGATTACATAGTAGATAAAACTAACCAATCATCCAATAACATAAGCACCCCGGGGATATTAAAATATGCTAGGGTCTGCCGCTCTAACTCAAAATATCGATCGTGTTCTAAGAAAATTATGGTCTCTAAAATTATGAAAACACATTATATTGTTCATTTTTTGAGTATTTCAAACCAATAGTTAGGGATATTTTTCTACGGAATATCAAAGTCAGTGTAATAATCACGATCGAGTCATTTCCCCTAACTAGATCGCCCTCGCACACTACTGTAGTCTACGGATATATAGACAGATTTTCATTGTTAAACATGTTAATATCAGATTTTTTAAATGTGTGAATTGATCAGATTGTGTCAAGTCAATATTTTTTTCAAATAAAAAAACTATATAATTCATGGCTGAATTCCGAATGTATTTGCCTCCATCGTCTTACTAGCATTCTCTGTATCGGTATGCAACGAGGTTTCCACGATTCAATAACTGACAGCTCAACTCGACGACCCAACGATCGCCTTCTCTCCCACACTCAACTTATAGTCACTGATGGGGTTATGTTTCCGGATCTTATTCCTGATTTTACCACTCCGGGTTTATTGGTTGTGTCGATGTCCCCGTTATTCTGTTCTCTACAAACATGTGTGTCGTTCCAGTCCATAATTCTTTCGGCTATTACATTATCACTGTTCGCCGACGAACTATCTTCATTACACCTGTTTCTCGGAAATGTGAAATCATCCACTATACCGCCCTCTAGTGACAGTTTGACGCAATTGGCAAAAGTGGTGTAATCCATGTTAGGGACAAATAATGGAGAGAATGGGTCCTCCAAGTTTGGATGGTAGAAAAGAAAAAGTATAGCCTGAACGACATGGTCAAGGTTGAAACAGCTTTGCCATTCATCCAGCAAGCTCACACATATCTCACCATAATCTTCACCGAAAACCAACAAGTTTTCTATATTTGGGTGGTAAATTGGGGTAAGACACGTCACTTCCGGTGCAGTCGATGGGTAGTTCGGTGCCAGGTATATCTGAAGAGTGAAATATTACAAAGAGAATGTAAATCTCGATGTTTCGGTACTTTAGAAAATGTGATATTAATTTTATATTCCGCTTAATAAAAACCTCCTGTGTACGTTTGTATTTTACTCCCATGGTGCACCTTACTGATGTAATCTCCAGAGATTCAAGGTCACCATTATTTTGTCCTTGATAGCAGAAAGCGGCACAAAAAAGAAGTGAGATGCATTACGGGAATACCATCTTGCACGTACAGATTAATATTTGATATCTAAATTTAATCCAAAATTAATTAATTAATTAATGCCCCCTAATACCACTCAAGGCACATTCGCTTTGTGGGTACCCCAGCCCAACACCCTGTCAGATCGCCAGGACAATAATTAAATTATCTATAAAAAAAAATGATGTTCGACGATTATTCTGTTTAAAAACGCACCAAAATATGCTTTATTCGTTTACTTAAACTATAAGCTATCTGAGGTCAGACAATAAGTAGTACTCACCTTGAAAATAAATTGTCCGTTTCCATAGAGACCACTGTTAGGTGTAATTGAGACAAACAATGTTCTTTCTTGCTCCTGGAAATTCACTACCATAGCCTGACCATCTGACAGCTTGTTGATATCGCGCATCAGGTAGTAGATATCTTTTGTAACACTTCGGTTCATTTCAACTTTTAGCGGTACTCACTGTGTTTTACTGGTGGTCTACGCCCTCTAAAATAAAAACGACAACAGACTGTTAGAATTTTCTGTAGGGGGCGTCGTTAGATTCGGTCAGCAGAGTGCCAGCGATTTAATCCAGCGGCGAGCAATGTATACAGACGTGGATAACTTGTTTAACCTCTGAAGATGTATATCTGTTGTGTAATATACGTGGAACGTCTTCTAAATATAGTGCCTCGACGGCAATATCAGTTGCAATATGCTAAATGTCGTCGGCGTCGATATAAACACCGTTCAGATTTGAGTTGACCTCATCAACCCAAGTTTGAGCGCTATACTACAAGTATGCTGGCGAAATACACATCAGGCTCCACACTTTTTGCTTCGAGTCGTCAAATTGATCAGTTGGATCTATATGGAAGTTTAGGTTCTCTTTGGTGTTTTTTTATAGTGCCGAAAATTGGATACTGCAATCGCGAGAAAGAAGTACTCCATGCTGGTTGAATGTATGATGCAATACCGAGAAATATAATAGCGCCCCCAGTGGTGATAATAACATTATCGTGTCTGTCCCCCACAGTATACTGCCCTGTAAAATGTACATGTTTATTTTGTGTTAAAGCGGGAGGGTCGTCACCTGCGCACGCGCGGGAATTGAGTCCCAAGCGACGATAACAACACACGCTAAAAATGCAAAGGCTCATGGATAGACGCTTGTTTGTAAATAATGATACGCTATAAAAGGCCATCTGACGCATGCGCAGGTGAACTCCCCCGCTTTAAATATTTATTCCATGACATTGGACGATTTCAGATTCCAGTATACAGAAATTAAAAATTAATTAATTAATTTTAGCACCGAATTTATTGCCCACCAAATTTATAATCATCAAAATCGATGTTTTTTTCAGAGTTGTTTGTTTTTGTCTGTTTGTTTTTTAATTAAACGTGTCCCTTGATTATGTCTCCATGCTGTCCATGGTGGATTCAAACGATAAATTAAGTGTACAGTCCCATTATGTTTGGGAAAAACACGAGACACACTTATTTTTTTGTTTTTCATATATTGGGTCAAAGTTGCCTGGTGCATGCTGGGAGGACGCATAATTGCATTGAATCTGTTAGTTTAGTGAATATTTTGTAATCTTCTGACGTTTATATTATGACACAGTCAAAATTACCGTTGTCAGGTTATATCAATCGGCTTTCAGCATGTTTGGGCCTGCTCGGAACGTGTTGGAACTCATTTTTGTTTTCGTGATAGGCTTCCGATAACCTTTTTTCAATAGGCTTCCTACTTTTACATATATTTTTGGCGGCTACGTATAGTATCATTTTGGGATGGCTACGACGACAGAAAGTCAGAATCACTGTTGTACCGTGCCCCAATTTGCTAGCTATAGCTAATGAAATCGACTGATCGGTGTTCTTTCACTTCATTATATACTTACCGTATGCATTGTAGATCAAATGGAGACCAAGATGTATTCTGAGAAAATGACCAGCAAGTTAAAAATAACATCCCGTCATTTCTGTCTGAGGTTGCCTTTTCTATTTGAAACGGGACTTTTGGGGTGCACTGCAAGTGAATGCTAGACGGAAATAGCCACAAACAAACCAAACGTCAGATCAGCTGTTTTCTAAACGTGTCTGTGACGTTAACAGATCCAATGCATATATATATATATAATATATTTCAAGTTACAATAGTGCACCTACTATTCTGGTCAGATGAGTAATATATATCGAAGTTTATTGAACATTGTCCTATAACATTACATTATTTAAACATTCAATTAAAACAAAGACGATTTTTTTGTTTTGTTACGAAAATACATAATTGTATATGAAAAAAACAATCTTATCGTTCACTTATATTTCTACGTTCATAGCTTTACGACCTTTCTTTGTGCAGTAAAATTAAATGTTCGAAAACAAACTCGCACAAAACGTTTTAGGGGGAGTCTTCCCCGTGTTTTTCTGCCACGTCCCCTGCAACGGACACCGCAGCATCGCTCCGGTCGGCAACTCCAGCAACAAGTGGGGGTTGCCTCTCCTCCAAGCTCTTGACAACACGCCACAGTTTCGTCCACTCCCAGATTTGGTGTTGCGGGTTTTGTCTCTAGAATGGCACCGTCGTCATTCAGTGGTTCTTGAGATACTTTAACTACGTCAGAAAATTGCTCACCAAGTTCTGATACGCGTGATGTCATATCTGGATTCTGGATCTCTCTCGTTTCGTCGGCTTGCTGACTGACGATATTTCTTTCAAAATAGAAACCGTCCACTACTCCTCCATGCAGTGACTTCTTGACTCTAAGGCTATACTCGTCTGACGTCATATAAGACCCAAACATAATCGACAACGGGTCGTCTAAGTTAGGGTGGTAAAACAAGTAAAGAATGCCTTGGACGAGGCTTTCTAAATCGGTTTTGGAATCCCAGTCATTGAGAATGTTTACACAAACGTTATCAAAGTAATTACCATCATAGGCGTCGATGTTCGGGTGATAGATCATGGTTTCACATGAAACTGTCGGTGGTGACACTGGGTATCGTTCGTCAAACTCTATCTGTAAAAAAAAAGAAAACGGTAAATATTGAACAAACAATATTTTTCGTGGAGTGTGTAGAACCAAACGACATTCCCGCCGTTGGGGGCGTGAAAATGTGACATGAATGGAATCTTACTTTTAGGAAACAAATATTCGATTTGGAAATTGAATTTAAAAGTATGAAATCACCAGGAATAGAGCGGTGGTCGCTGAGATGCGTCATGCTATTTGACTTCGGTTTCAGTAAATTACATGTTTGATAGGTACATTTATGTGTTTTTTTCAGTGGCTCATTATTCAGTTTCATGATTCATAATTCGGCGAAACAAGCGGTACTTCCGCGGCTTTTTAGTAAATATCCTAGAAAATCTCAATTAACTCCCCAAATGACTATTTAACTCGGATTCTTTCGGGCAACCCAAACACGACGACCGCGCATCAGCGCGCAAACAATGAAATAA